CGATGGAATCGCTGGGGGCGCCTCCCACGCCTCGACAGTCGGTCATGACACTGGCGGCCCCAACCTTGTCATCCGTCGCTGATCCGCTGATGCAAGAGGCGGCCAAGACGGCCACGATCGCCAAGGCCAAGCGTACCAAGACGGTGCCGGCGGCTCCGGTCCGCACAAGCTCGCGCTCCAAGGGGGCCAAGGGTAACATGCTGTCGCTGCAGCGGGCGCAACTCCTCCAGGCGTAGAAGAACATGGAGATCTCAGGTAATCCTCCGCCTCGCTTCACGGTTCTTGATTCCTTTTCGGACAATCACTTGCATGAGGTGTTGGAAGCGAGCGGTGTGGTTTCTTCTGGTGAGGGGGGAGTCAGGGAGCTTATTTCGCTCGTTCGCGCCAAGGAGACGGCGCGGGCAGCGCTCGCGGCTGCTGCGGCAGCGCGTGCTGTCCAGAGGCCCTGTGAGCCCGAGGGAGGGGCCACCGCGGCTCTCTCCGTGCCCGAAGAGGGGGATCAGGCAACAGGGGTTGCCCCCATCCCTCGGCTTGCCATGGCAGGGTGAGGCGCGTGGCTAAGGCGGTCACCTCGCGAGGTGTCCGGCTCCGCAACCGAGTCATCTAGATGCGGGCCATCTTTTGGAACATCCGTGGCTTTGGCCACGCGGGGCGTCGGACGCAACATAAGGAGTACATGCGTAGAGAGGACGTCGATATCGTGGGGCTGCAGGAAACTATCAAGGGGGATTTTCGTTTCCATGAGCTGCTTGCTATTGATCCGTTGGAGCGCTTTGAGTGGCAACACGTTCCCGCTGTTGGTCACTCCAGTGGTTTGTTGCTTGGTCTTAATCGTGCTCTATATGAGATTATTGCCTGGGACGTTGGTTCGTTTTTCATCTCAGCTCATTTTAGAGTTAGGTCCACGCGACGCGAGTTGGTTGTCATTCAGGTCTACGGGCCGGCCGATCACTCGAGATCGGCGGAGTTCTTGGGAGAACTCCAAGCCAAAGTTAACTCCATGACTGAGGCAACGCTTCCTGTCCTGGTGGGAGGCGATTTCAACCTGATTAGGTCAGGTGCGGACAAGAGTAACAGTAACATAAACTGGCCTCGAGTGGCTATGTTTAATGCTGCGATCGCCTCGATGGCCCTCAGGGAGGTGGCTAGAACGGGCGCTCGATTCACATGGACAAACAAGCAATTAGACCCGGTACGCTCTGTGCTGGATCGTGTGTTCATGTCTCCGGATTGGGAAATGGGTTTTCCCCTCTGCACTCTGGTCGCGGAGACTCGGATTGGGTCAGACCATGTACCTCTGGTGTACTCCTCGGGGGAGGATAGAGTGCGACGTAGCCCTCGTTTTTTCTTTGAAATGGCCTGGTTAGAGGTGCCAGGCTTCGAGGAGCTCTTCAGGGAGAAGTGGAGGGTGTGCGTGAGTCAAGTGGGGTCCCAGCGTGGCCCGATGGAGTTCTGGAACGCTGTCGGAGGACGACTCAGGGCAAGTCTCAAGGGATGGGGCGCTAACCTTGGGAGGTCCGACAAAGCACACAGAGCCGCCATCCTAGCGGAGATCGCAACGATTGATTCCCAGGCTGATATGCGGGACCTTCCGGAGATGGAATGGGCCCATCGATACGACCTGGAAAGTCAGGTCGAAGCGTCGTTGCGAGTAGAGGAAGAATATTGGCGTCGCCGTAGTGGCTTGAAATGGATCCTCAAAGGGGATGCTAATACCAAGTATTTCCAAGCCTACGCTAATGGCCGACGTCGTAAATGTTCTATCCTAAGGTTGCAATCGGAGCAGGGGCTTCTGTTGCGACAAGAGGACATCTCTCGGCATATTTACGAGTTCTACATTAAGTTGATGGGGACGTGTGAGGACCAGAGGGCGGGTCTGAATGCGGATGTGTGGGAAGTAGGGCAACGGGTGCTGGACTGCGAGAACGAGGGGCTGGGGCTAGCGTTCCTTCCCGAAGAAATCAATGCCGCGCTGATGGGTATGAAGGCGGACACGGCCCCCGGCCCGGACGAGTGGCCGGTGGCAATGTTTAAACGGTTCTGGCCCTTACTTAGGGTCCCGATTTTCGAGATCTGCAACGGGTTTATGCGCGGGTTGGTAGATATATCGTGCCTTAACTTTGGAGTGTTATCGCTCATACCAAAGGTTCAAGGGGCCGATGATATTAGGCAATTCCGCCCCGTTGCGCTCATCAATGTTCCGTTTAAAATTTGTGCCAAAGCGTGTGCGACTAGGTTAGTTCCGATAGCTCATCGTGTGATCCATTGCAACCAATCCGCGTTCATCCGTGGTCGCAATATTCTTGAGGGCCCTCTGGCCCTTCAGGAGATTATACACGAACTCAAACGCACCAAGGAACCGGCGGTGCTGTTAAAGCTAGACTACGAAAAGGCTTACGATCGGGTTAATTGGAATTTCCTCCGCCAGGTGCTACTCAGCCAGGGTTTCTCCGCTGTTTGGGTGCACCGCGTCATGCAGTTGGTCTCGGGAGGACAAACTGCTATTTTGGTGAACGGAGAAGTAGGGCACTTCTTCCGGAACAAGCGAGGCCTCAGGCAAGGGGATCCGTTTTCCCCCCTCCTGTTCAACTTTGTAGTCGATGCGCTGTCCTCAATGCTGAGGAAAGCGGCGGAGGCTGGTCATATCAAAGGGTTTGTAGGACATCTCATTCTAGGGGGAGTGGCCCACTTGCAGTATGCGGATGACACACTACTGTTGTTTCGTCCGGACCTACATAGCATTGCTGCGGTCAAGGCGATTCTTCTCAGTTTTGAGCTCATGTCGGGCCTCAAAATTGACTTCCACAAATGTGAGGTGCTCTCGATGGGGATCGAGGCCGAGGGGGGAGGGCGCATTGCGGATTTGCTCAACTGCAAAGTGGGCAAATTCCCGTTCACTTATCTGGGCCTCCCGGTAGACACCAAACGACCCACGATAGAGGATTGGGAGCCTCTATGCGCCAAAGTGAGGACTAGGGTCTGTTCTTGGCGGGGCAATTTTTTGTCGAAAGCGGCAAGGCTAGTGCTCACAAATTCCAGCCTGTCTTCTTTGCCGATGTTTGCCATGGGGCTGTTTTTGCTTGCAGAAGGGGTCCATGCCAAGTTTGACACACCGCGAGCCAAGTTCTTTTGGGAAGGAACTGGCCGGCGCCACAAATACCACATGGTTAAATGGGCCTGGATGTGCCGGCCCAAGGACTTGGGCGGTCTCGGGATCACCAATTCCAGATGGCTTAACATCGCGCTGATGTGCAAATGGATTTGGAAAATCACCCAGGGGGCCTCCGTGTTGTGGGTCGATCTCCTACGGGCCAAATATTTTCCTAACGGGATTTTTTTTGAAGGAAGGGCAAGGGGCTCACCGTTTTGGAATGATCTTCAGTTGATCAAACCAGCTTTTGCCATGGGGCAAAATTTGCGGTTGGGAACGGCAGATCCGCGCGTTTCTGGACTGACCTTTGGATAGGTACTCAACCCCTTTGGATAGAATTCCGGGAGTTGTACGATATTGCCGTTGACACCGCGTTATCGGTGGCGGATGCGCTTGCCGCGACGCCACCTGAGATTCAGTTCAAACGGGAACTCAACGGACCCGAGCAGGCAAGCCTCGCGGCCTTGAGGCAATTAATCGAACCGGTGGGTCTTTTGGATCAACCTGACACGGTGAGTTGGGTGCTCACTAACTCGGGGAAATTCTCGGTGAACTCCTTATACCGCAAGTTGTGTCGAGGGCCGACACAGCCCGTGATTGCAGGATTATGGAAAGCGTGGATGCCTTTGAAGATTAAACTTTTCATATGGCAACTGTTTCGCGATAGGCTTCCCACCTCCTTGAACGTAGCCAAACGTAATGGGCCGGCCACGGGTCCGTGTGCGTTATGTGGGGAACCGGAGGATGCCAATCATGTGTTTTTCCGGTGCCCGTTAGCAAGGTTTGCGTGGAGTGATGTCCGCACCGCGGCAGGTGTCCTTTGGGACCCGCGCTCGGCTACTGAGCTTTTCAACCTCCTTGATGCGATTAAGAGCCTAGCATGTCGGGTTATGTGGAGTTGTGTTTGGGCACTTCTCGGGGCCTTATGGCTAACTAGGAACAAGTTTACTATAGAAGGGTGCTTCCCAAATCATCCGGCTAATATCATCTTCAAATGCAACCTTCTATTGCAGCAGTGGAGTCCGTTGGGGAGGCGCAAGGATGCTGAGCTAATCAAGACCGCCCAACAATGACTGGTGCAAGTGTATGCGATGGCTAGGAAGTCATGACTTCGGTTCTTTTGTTGCTTGACGAGCCTGCGTGCTCTGTACGAGCTCTGCCCTGTAATCTCGTTTGGCGGCTTGTTTTTAGTCTCATCTGAACTTTGGTGCTCAAGCCGGCAGGGCTTTTGGTGTTGTATTAAGACTTGGTTTGTGGTACGCTGCCGTTGAGGTTTTATTAATTTAAAACCGGACGCATCCGGCGTCTTCGTTCTAAAAAAACAATTAACACGTCGTCGGGCTGCGCGGGTGGGTGGGTTGTAGTTTTCCGGGTGGTTTACCTGCTCTGCTCCGCCCGCGAGCACAATCGCCCCCGGTGGGTCGCCGTCCGGCCCGGCGTCGGATTCGTGCAATCGCGATCGCCTCTCCATTTGGCCTTTTGTGTTGAAATGGCTTCTAGCTGCATGCAACTTGATCAAACAACCCGGTCACCTTTTCTTATTTTACTACTGTATATGCAGGTGCCTTGCACGTCGTTATGTTCAAGTAGAACAAGATAATAACTGAAGCTGTGGTTCAAAATCACGAACACCGTCGCCGTTGATTCGAAACTCCGAGCAGAATGCGTTCACATGCGTTCATCTATGTGCCCAACAAGCCAGGCATGAGCATAAACAATGCAGGGAATGACGAATTAATTTCACACTACGAGTTCCCTCTTATATAAAGCCAACCCTCCGATCTCAAATTCATCAACAAAACAGAAGACACACTCCTAGTTCAATAGAAGCAATAGGATGGCCCCACAAATGGCTAACAGATCATCATCCCTGCTGCAATTGCTGGTCGTGGTAGTAGTGGCGGCGCAGTTCCTCGGTTCGGAAGCCGGCGGTATTTCCATCTACTGGGGCCAGAATGGTGGCGAGGGAACGCTTGCGGAGACCTGTGCCACCGACAACTACAAATTTGTCAACATCGCCTTCCTTGCTGCCTTTGGCAATGGCCAGCCACCAGTCCTCAACCTGGCAGGCCACTGCGACCCGACCAATGGCGGCTGCACGAACCTAAGCTCCGACATCAAGTCTTGTCAGAGCCGTGGTGTCAAGGTGATTCTCTCCATCGGTGGCGGGGCCGGCAGCTACTACCTTTCCTCGGCCCAGGACGCCAAAAATGTCGCGACGTACTTGTGGAACAACTACTTGGGAGGTAAGTCATCTTCGCGGCCTCTCGGCGATGCAGTCCTCGACGGCATCGACTTCGACATTGAGGGTGGCACACCCCTACACTGGGACGATCTTGCGAGGTTCCTCAAAGGTTACAGCAACTCCGGCAGGAGAGTATACCTGACTGCCGCGCCACAATGCCCTTTCCCTGATGCATGGGTGGGTGGCGCCCTCAACACCGGCCTCTTTGACTATGTGTGGGTGCAGTTCTACAACAATGCACCCTGCCAGTATATCTCAGGTAGCACTACCAATCTAGCCGATGCGTGGAAGCAGTGGTTGACAGTTCCAGCAAAGCAGATCTTCCTCGGCCTCCCAGCGTCACCTCAGGCTGCCGGCAGCGGGTTCATCCCGGCCGATGATCTGAAGTCAGATGTTCTCCCATTGATCAAGAGCACAGGAAAATATGGAGGGATCATGTTGTGGTCCAAATACTATGATGACCAGGATGGCTATAGCTCCTCGGTGAAGAGTGATGTTTGAGAGGGTCACCATACTTTAATCTGTGAGATACATGTGTGCTTTCTTTCTTGTGATGTGTGAGGGACGGAGGATTCATCCATTTTCCTTGTTACTTGTAAGTAATTATGTGTCACTCGATTGTTGTATATAATATAAATACTTTTTTTACTTGGAGCATGGCTTGGATCTTTCATTTCAAAGGAGGTAACCTGAATCCAGGATTATTTGTTCAACATGACTGAAATGTGGATTATAATTGCTTTTATTACATTATAAATTCTCTGCACACCGGAGCATTGTGCAACTTTGCTTCATGTGTCTTATCCACCTGGCCTAATCCGCAGTGGCGAATCTAGCAGGGGGACTTCGACAGGCTCGAGCCCCCCCTCAAAAAATTGGGAAAGAAAAATTACTAGTATTCGTATCAAATTTTTGACCTTTTATTTGGACTAGCGAATTAAGAGTTTTTTACTTTTTCTACACACAATTAACTTTGAGCACTCCCTTCATTTTCTTCCAAGATTCGCCACTGCTAATCCGGGTATCATTAACTCATTATCGGCAAATATATACCTACACCAAGACGTCATGTAGAGCTCCGAGTTGTATCACACGCTGCTCTGGCAACACCCTGCACCCCACCGCCCCACCCTGGAGCAAACCACCTTCCCGCAGGCTCCGGCGAGATCCACCACATAGTATCAGGCGGTGTAGGTGCCCTCTCCTTCCATCAGCCTCCGCTATCACTACGTTTGGGACTGGGGCTTGGAGTGGCGTTGGGACGATACCTGTGAGATCAGCGGATTTGAAGGCGAAGTACGTGACCACACTATGGGGAAAATGATATATAAGGGTTTTCATTGTAACTTTCTTTTTGTGGAGTCGTTTTTTTGCAATTGTTCCTTGCCGTGTGTCCTCTCTTGATTTATCCATCCATTGTAATCCGACAGTTGTTTAATGGTAATCGGAATTCCCCAAAAAAAAATCTGCCCGGCAGGGGAGAAAGGAAGTCTATTCGGATGCGGTTCGTTCGCCGTTTGCTGCCCATCCGCTGCTCGAGCCTGATCGTTGTGAACGCGCACGCCCGCCTTCACTCGCATGGCACCATGCATGGTGCATGCACCCGACCCAGTTCCCCGCGCGCAGTTGGCTGGCTTGTAGCCGAGGATGTACGCGGCAGTGTATCTGGACGACCACCCGGGCCATGCAGGTGTCACTGCATGCCCGGCCAGCAGCACACTGGCACGTAGGCGGGATGTGCGGGGCAGGTCTCTCGGATAGACAAGGCGTCAGGCCAACTTTACCGTGCGACCCTATCCTGTCTGGCCCCGTCCGTTTAGGATAAAACAGACAAAGAAGGCGGCCCAGCGCGCGGCGGCTCGGACTCATCTTGTCCGTTTTGTGTCTGGGCCAATCCATTTTGAGCGCAAACTTGCGCCGGGTTTCGGTCGCGACGGACACCAAACGGACATGCGCCTCGTCCGCGTCGGGGCCGCGTGGCAGACCGCCACCTACCTCCCATCCGCCCACATAAATGCACACGAGCGGGCGGCCCCACCTGTCATCCGCACGTCGAAGGATCGCCGTCCTTCTTTAAGTGGGAAGCGTGAACGGGTCGCCGTCCACACTGCCCCACGCCATCCCGCGGCCTCCTCGAAACCCGATAGCCCCAGTCCAAACCCTAGCCAACACCTCGCCGGCCTGCCGCCCGCTGCCATGGGCCGCAAAGGCAAGCATGACC